CACCCTACCCCCGTTAAAGTTTTGCAATCTTAGTAATCTCTGACCACTGGGGTATAAAAACACTCCTCCCCATCTGCGGGATCCAGAGCCACTTATTACTACTTAACCCTGTTCTGGGGAACATGGACTCCCCAAAACCTCGCCACCCTTTTTGTATTTTTGTTATTTTACATTGAGTAACTTCAGCTAGTGTATACAATTATAAATATGCAAATAGGTGTTTCCACACACACATACACACAGACATACACACACAGACATACACACAGACATACACACACAGACACACACACAGACATACACACAGACATACACACACACACACATACACACACACCACACAGTGGGCACATCATCAGTACAGTGGGCACATCATCAGTCTAGTTTAGTTTATTGACCTTTTAGGGTCGCGATACCAACATCTTTTTTTTTACTATAAGAGATTTTCAACCACCCACTGCTGTTGTTGCCATTAAATTTAAGATTTAAACAGTCAGCAAATCTTGTTTTTTTTTTGCCTGACGACTTAGAAGGCAACAAATAATCATCAGCGTACCTTTCTGGTGGCACCGAAAGCATTCCTTGCACCGTCAGCCGTTTTCATCACCACAAAAGCGAAGACTGTGCGCTGCGGATCCGGGTGTTCCAAAACGCGACGAGGAACGCTTACAGCAGCCACAGGTCCAAATTCTGAAAAAACAATACTACACATCTGTGGAATTGTCATATCAGATGTCCAAAGCTCCAGATTATTAGGTAAAAACGTCAGTTTTTTGAAAAAAAAAAATTACTTTCAAATTCATGTCGTATATCCCTTTCAATTAAAGACGGATTATCCGCGAAGATGTTACGCACAATGCCACCCACATAAAGTCTGCAGCTGTCATCTCCTGCAATAAAATATACAGTGAAACAAATTATTTTTTCTTTTTTCTAAAGGAGATGTCGCGCATATAAATCATCATACCTGAGTTGGGATGGTGAGTGGTAGAGTTATTTGTGACAGCGTTCGGCAAAACCGACGAGTGGCTGCTATGGATGACTGCAACACGCATTGGCGCATGCAGCGGCTGCTGGATGGTGTGCAGTTGGGCGGCCATTGCCACTCCATACGAATGATTCGGATAATTTTCGCCAACCAATTTTGCCCACGTTTTCGGTGCTGAATTTTGCACCGTCTCGCACGAATCATCCGTCTGCAGATGCACACTCTTATTATTTGATAATTTATCGTCCAAAAACCGGTCACAACGATATAAGCTTAGTGCAAGGCGTGAACTAACGAATTCTGATTATCCATAAAAAAATTACTACTCGCCGCCCTCATGCAAGCAAAATTTCTTCAGTGAGCGATTCGATTTCAAAAGCACGCCACATATCGATAAGTCAAAAGTCACTCATACTTCACTGTTTACGGGAAATAACAGTACCGGGGAAGTGAGTGAATGCACTTCACCTACGACAATACCCAGCTGATAAGATTACCAGTAATTCTCACTCCTTGCTCGAGAAGTCCACAAAACCGATTTATTTCCTAACGTGCTAAACAGGCCAGCAGTCTTCAAAACAAAATCAACAAATGGGTCTCGGCCGAATACTGGCAAACAGTACGACTGTAGCAAACTCGTCAGTCTTTTACGATCACAAAAAACCCGCAAAAGCGATACACAAGTGTTGGGGCGGGAATAATTAATAATTTCTTAACAAAATTTGTGGCTCTGAAACATAACGTATGTAAACATTGGCGGTCCAGGAAGGGGGAAGGGTCCTTCGCCCCTCCTCCCCCCCTCCCCCTCCCCTCCCCGTTTAGTAGTCGCCTGTTAGAGCGATGAGCAAGTAAAGGGAGAAGGGGCGGAGGGAGACGGGAGAGGGGGGG